AAAAAAATACAAGATTGCACATATTAAAGTATTATAAAAAATCAATATTTAAAAGGAAATTTTAATCTATATAAAATTAAGAAAAAACCATAGTTGAATCATGCCTATCTCTGTAAAAATTAAACACACCCAATATCTTTTAAAAATAATCACAATTTAATTAAAACATAAATTCAAAATTTATTTGAAAAAATATACACAAATAATACATTATTTTTTAAAAAAACTAAAAATTAATAGAATAAAATGCCTAGCCCAATAAAGCAACAGGTGAAGCCTAAGTGAAGGCCTCCATAAAAAAAAAAAGGAAGATGTTTTGCTTGCGTCAGGAGATGATGGTCACCTGGAAAACCTAGAATCTGGCCATTATAATGGGAGGAGAAATAGAGTCCTTCATTTTTTCAACTCAAAATCCCATTTTCAACTCATGTTTTATCCAAAAAACCTATATAACACCCTAGAGACCTTGTTAAACCAATATATGGCAACCAAAAATCCAACAAACCGCCCCAAAACATGAAATTCACCTGAAACGAAAATTCTTCCTGAGTTCAGATATATTGTTTTATTTGTTTTCATAAAAAAACACCTAAACATAATCCTCTTATCATATGAAACCTTCTAACATAAAAATCAATCATTTTGGTGGCTAGAATATTTCCAAATAGCCACTCTCTCTCTCTCTCGGAATTCAACAATTCCCTCTCTCTCCTCCTAACAGAAAATGACTAAAAAAAGAGGAAAATAAAATTAGATACCAAAATATATTATCTTGAAATTCAAGATACTGATCACCTAATATCTAAAAAATATAGGGGATTAAAATGAATGTTTCAAAAAAACTTTCAACCCACCCCCATGTTATCCGAAATTTTCACTTCAATTTCTTAACTTTCAACTTAATCCTTCCTCCTAAAAACATATTTAATTAGAGGCTAATTTGGGCTCTAAAAGGCCATATCACATAAAATAAAAGTTCAAGGACCTAAATAAAAATTACATTACTCCAATCTACAATGTATTGTGAAAGAGTGAATAGTAATTCAAGCATAGTAAAAGGTTGATGCTTTTTACTTTATAGTTAATGGTATTATGTATGTAAATTAGAAGTTAGGGCTAACATATAATTTGATGGAATTTTCATTAGAATTTAATTACCAATTAAAAAGAAAGGAATTGTTTTGTGTTGTTAAAGTGGCATATAATCTCTAACAAACTCTGATCTGGTTGGGAATAGAAAGTAATTAGAAGATTTATAAGAATTTACACTTCATAACATACTTTTAATTTTAAATCCTAGCAAGAAAAAAAAAGCAAGATATTTCCTCACTAGGCTGACTTATCTATCTGTTTTTTGAAAATTTTATAATGTTCTATCAAATGATCTTATCTTTTTAATGCCAAAACCATATGACTATCCTCATTTATATAAAATTACATAAGAAGTTTGAAATGAAAAAATCCATGATAATAAGAATTCAAATACAGTCAAGAGTTATCTTCTAAAATAGATAAATGTTTCTCTATAGCATTCAATCATGACTAGTTTGATGGAAAAGATAAGAAGAATCCAAAAAAGTCTCAAATCAAATATTTGGACAGGTTTGAATCTTATGGCTACCATCCTTTACAAGCTAATAAGAAGAGAAACCAATATTAGCTTGTCACGAAGCTGAAAAAAAACCATGTTGAACGAAGTCCCTTTATAAAGATATATCAATTTTATAAAAAAAAAACCAATAAATTAATGGGAGATATCCCAATTAGAAGCTTTCTCATGGATAAAGTAAAAATTAACTTTAATATGCTTAGTGCAAGCATGGAACATAAGATTAGAAGCAAGAGCATCATTATTATCACACTAAACAGAGGAGTTGTAGGTGAAGAAATATAGAGTTATTTGAGGAGCATACAAATCCAATAAAACTTAGCATTAGTAATACAAATCCAATAAATCATACCTTGAGATAAGACCACTAGAAAAGGTCTAGGGGACTACAACTCATCCTTATCAATAAATGTGTTCTCATTAAACACATGTCGTGAGATTAATTTTTTTTTTTAGTGAGAGGATCCAAACATTTATATCCATTTTGATGGCAATCATAACTTAAAGATATGCAATGCTTGGATCTAAACATTAATTTGTGAGTTGTAAATGGTCATAACAATGGGAAACAAGGACAACCAAAGGTGCGTAAAGAGGTATAATCAAGATACTTGCCAAATAATTTTAGATATATTGTTCAATTATCAAGAGTGTAGGAGTTGACAGTCTATTAATGAGAAAGATGGGTGTTTAAAAGGCATCAACCTAGAATTTAGTAGGAAAACATTATTGAGTTAACATATATAGTCTCATCTCCACCAAATGATGGTGTTTGCACTCAGCAGCAACACCATTTTATTGGAGTGTACATGGACAAGTTAGGCAATGTTGGATTCTATTAGGCAATGTTGGATTCTATTAGAGGTAAGAAATGATTGAAATTGGTTTAACATGTATTCTTCATCTTTATTCGATTGTAAATACTTAATTTTACATGAAAAATAGTTTTCAACTAATGTTTTAAATTTAACAAAACAAGCAAACACATCATTACTTTCGAGAGGATAAAGCCATAGGAATAATGAAAAATCATCGAATATAACATAATACTTGCATCCACTAAGAGATTTAGTTGAAAAGGATCAAACATCAGTATGAATTAACTCCAAAATATAGGAGGAAAAGAAGCTGATTACCTTTGTCAAATGGGCAAAGTTCACAAAAATACATTTTATTCATTGGTCTTTCAATAAGTGAAGAATGTTTGTTTAAGAACTAAGATACATTGAGAAGATATGAATGATCTAATCTAGAATGCTAAATAAAAACTAGTGCTTTAATTCCTCTAGCTACTACTAAAATATGTGATTTATTGATGAAATATAATTTATTAATGGACATTGTCTACAAATGGATTGGATAAAAACCACCTTCACTCTTGTTTTTTAATTGTGTCACCTGGAATTGTTTTCTAATTATGTCACCTTGATTTGTATGTCATTGGCAAAGTAATGAGTATCAATTAGAATAAGGAAGCAATTATTATCAAACTAAAATATATTTATAGAAAGTAAATTGGTTAAAGCTTGAGGATAATGAAGGACATATTTGATTTATAATAAAAATAATAATATTAATAATATTAATAACAATATTAAAGTTGTATCATCTAAGTTCTTATAGTTTTTAATTCCTTCAAATCAAATTTATGATTTTTTTTCAATAGTAATAATATTTTTTTAAAAAATAATATGATGATGATGATGATAATGATGATCATTAATTTTACCCTTCAAATCAAATCTATGGTTTTTCTTCAATAGTAATAATATTTTTTTTTAAATTTAATAATAATAATAATAACAATAATAATAATAATTAATTTTACCTTTAAAATCAAATCTATGATTTTTCTTCAATAGTTATAATAGTTTTTAAAAAACTTCCATAATAATAATAACAAGAACAACAACAACAACAACAATAATTATTTTTAATTTTACCTTTCAAATCAAATATATGGTTCTTTTTCATTAGTAATGATATTTTTTAAAACATTTGTTGATAATAATGAATATAATAATATTTATAATATCAATAATAATATTAAACATGTCTATCCAAGTTTTTATAATTTTTAATTTTACTTTTCAAATTAAATCTATGGTTTCTTTTCAATAATAATAATATTGTTTTTCAAATTTATTATTATTATTATTATTAATTTTACCCTTCAAGAGACTTGGGTCAGGTAGGAGCGCAGACCCAAGAAAAAAAATTATTTTTTTAAATTTTTTTTTTCCATACTTTCAATTATTTTTTGTAGTTTTAAATTATTTTAATGTATTAATATTAAAAATAAATATAAAAAAATATTATTTTAATATATTTTTAAATAAAAAATACTTTTGAACAAAAGCTATATCGGTAACAACCATAAAATAGAATTTTTATTGAAGGAATAACAAATTAATAAACATGAAAAATGAATTATTTCAATGGGAATGTATGATTTGAATTCTTAGATTTAAAATATTAAATTAGATTTTGTATGTGTTTTATTTATAATTTATTTATACTTTGTTTATAAATAATTTTTTGATTCACGTTACTTAGGTTTGACAAACATATCAAACTCAAACTTACTTGAAACATAATAAAATTATAATAATAATAATCATAACAACAACAACAATAATAATCATACTAACAACAATAATAATAAAAGATAATTTTTTTTATTAAAGGAATAATAAATTTATAAACATAAAACATGAACGATTTCAATAAAAAAATATAATTTAAATTTATAGATGTAAAATGTTGAATTAAATTTTTATAATAATTTATTTATAATAATAAAAATATATTTCCTTGGATCTAGTAAGTATATATGATGCCAAATCCATACGAGCGGATCTGCAACCAAACAAGTAAATTTAGTTCTAGTGGCTAGATATGACAAACATGCCTATCCCCCAATACCATATGAATGGCAGTCATGCTATCCCTAGTGCCAGATCTTATAAAACCGGAATGGATCATCTGTCCCCAATCATTTTTTTAATGTCATTTATTTTATGGAAAAGACAACTTCATCTCAACTACATGTTTAATAAATTTCTTTGACAAGACCAGATCAATATACTGCTCGAATTTGTAATGCTCTCTATTTTGATTGAACAATAGAAGAACAAATAGTGAAACTTTGAGCCCCTTTACTGTTTATATATTCAAACTCATATTATTCTGAAAATTCATCTCTCTAGAGTTAATCGCAGTAAACCGAGCCACGTTAAAACAGCAATACATGCTTGACTTGGGATGCATTGTACGCAAAGATGTACGAAGAGTCAAAGAAGTTCGATCTTGAAATTACTAAACGCGCCACCCTCATCTGCTATAAGAAGGCGTTGCCTGCCTGCCTGGTTTTACACCAAAGCCACTCAAATTCTAGATAGACAAGCAGAAGTTAATTTCTTCCATTCCTATGGAACGGTCATGGTTCTTCTCTCTTTTATTGCTCATCTCCATATACAACCTTGCCCAGTCCACTGTCCCTCCTTCTTCCAGATTTAAGGAAGTTAATACTGGAGACTTTGCGGAAGCCCTCTCAGAGTATAGTTCAGATTTTCGCGGCCTGGACCTCTCTGTTTCCATTTTCCAACTTTGCTTTTATAACACCACCCCTAATGCATTCACTCTCGCTATACGTATGGGTACTAGGAGGTCACCTGCAATGAGGCGTTTTGTTTGGGAAGCCAACCGAGGCAACCCAGTTGGGGAAGATGCCACTCTCACTTTTGGTGAGGATGGTAACCTTATCTTGGCCGATGCTGATGGCAGGGTTGCTTGGCAAACCAAGACTGGCAACAGAGGTGTTGTAGGCTTGCAAATGCTAACAAATGGTAACATGGTGCTTCATGATTCTAAAGGCAATTTCATCTGGCAAAGTTTTGACTATCCTACGGATACTCTTTTGGTTGGTCAACCTCTTCGTATTGGAGGCGTCACCAGGCTTGTGAGTCGAGCATCTGACAAACAGAACACAAATGGAGCTTATAGCCTGGTCTTAGAACCCGAAAGATTAGCCATGTATTACAAGAGCCCAAACTCCCCCAAACCATATGTCTACTACACATTTAGTAAACAGAAAGGGCGTCTGCAATACGTGAGGCTAAGTAAAACCCCAAATTCGGAAGACCTGAGTCTTGAGTTCTCTACAGGCGCTAGAACCTTGCTCTCTAGGCCCAAATTCAACAGCACAATGTCATTTCTTCGACTCGGCGTAGATGGGAATCTTAGAGTCTACACATTCAATGACAAGTTAACTTCAGCTTCTTGGGAAGTGACTTTCACTCTTTTCTCTAGAGATGCACGTATTTGGGAAAGTGAGTGCCAATTGCCACAGAAATGTGGCAAGTTTGGGCTTTGTGAAGACAGTCGATGCGTTAGTTGCCCATTGCCAACTGAGTTTAGGAAATGGACCAAGAAATGTGAACCAGTGAAGTCATCTGTGTGTAACAAGAATTTCTATTACTATAAACTGCAAGGGGTTGATCATTCGATGAGCAAGTACGGAGATGGAAGTGGACCGATGAAGAAGACAGATTGTGAGAAGAAATGCTCCGGTGACTGCAAGTGCTCAGGCTACTTTTACAACACAAAGACATCGATGTGTTGGATTGCTTATGACCTACAAACGCTGACCAAGGTTGCCAATCCTACACATGTGGGTTACGTAAAAGTACCGAACCACCAGTGAGAGCTGGCCTGCTTGCTTCACCAATGCAAGTAGTAAAACAAAAAAAAAAGAAGAACATCTTATTATAGTTTTCGTGTATGTACTGTATGTCTTTACCTGGTGCCCCGAGTTTATTGCTTGCTGACATTTTGTGGAGCAGTTTTTGCTACTCGCAATTTACTTTACTGTTTCTTTCAGTAACAAAAAATAAAAATAAAACAGTTGGGCGTTTCAAGGCACATCTTATTTTTCCCTTTTCACATTCGATTATAGCATTCTTTATATATATATAACACCAAAATGCATTACATATTTCATAACTCAATTTTAGATCCCTAAATTTTTTTTGAAGTTTGAAGGTTTATTGAAGAGTAAATTGAAGAATCTTAAAACCAAGAATCAAATAGAAAAAGAAACGCACATTCAAGGACTAAAATTGATTAAACTCAAGAATAAATTTAAAGAAATTAGAAGTTTGAAATTTAATTGAGGATGAAATTCAAGACATCCAAGATTGAGGGTCTAAATTTATATAACCAAGTTATTCAAGACCATATTAAAAAAAGAGTTGAAAATGAAGGGTCTAAATTTACATAACCAAAACTTAATCGAAAAAAATATTGAGAATCAACCTAAATTGCCCGAATTCATCGAAGTTGAAAGATCAAGGCTCCTTTATAAAATGAACAAAACAGTGCTATTTTAGCACCACTATTCATTTTCTTCTTCATTTCTCCCGTGAGGGAGCTAGCTGGGGTTCCTTTTTTGCAGAGCATTTAATGCTCTCTCACGCCACAGGTAAAACAAAAGGGACACTTCTCTAGTATCCTTGACATCGTACTACCTCCTAGTGTGATTCCCGCAGAGTGGCTCCTCCTATAGCTGCTGTAACACTGGTCCAAAACCACTAACTCGACCAGCATTTGACAGCCTAGTTTGACAGTACCAGGTTACTGGCATGGCATCAATGGCTAGGATCATTCCAAGGGGGTTAGCAGATAATTCACGAAGGATTATATATATTTACATCACCTCCTATACATAAGAGTCCTGTTTAGTTAAAAAAAAAAATGGAGGATCTCGGGTTGTAGTAGTAAAAAAAAAAACACCATTGTTCTCCATTGTTTCAACCAACAACGCCATTTCTCCTCCTCCATCATCTTCAGCAACCGGATACCAGCCATAAAAAAAAAAAAAAGCCAGAATTATTCAATCCAACCAAAACCAGCAGGGACTCTCCCCTGTTCCAGTTGCGAATACCTCTCTCACTGTATAGTAAAGAATTCCAGACCTCTTCCCTTTACCCAGCCCAGAACGCTGCATAGAAACGCCTATTCCAACAGTTAGCCACATGTTTCTTCTTCTTCGTCATACAAGAGGAAGCCTTCACAAACTCCCATTCATTTGCTTTAACCTTCGTTAGTTCAATAAACAGAGTCTGTTTTCTTTGGCAAAACATAGGTTGCCAACGTTGAATGAAGGAAAAGATGTGTCCTGCTATTGGGAATATATCACCTAAACTTTGAAGAAGCATCAAAATCTCTTACAATCTTAGTTAAAAAATAGTTACAACTTGCAAAAAATTTAAACATATATTTTTTTCAAATTGCAACAAAAAAACCTATCATATTCTAAACAAGCACTGAACGATAATTTGTTTTTGTGTTATAACTTGCTTTTTAGAATGCTTTTTAAATTATTTTTTTGTTTAAAAATGAATGAAATTGATATTTATTTATTTAATTTTGAATGATTTTAATGTACTATATAAAAACTAAAAACAAATTTAAAAAAATATATAATTTTAATGTATTTTCAATTAAAAAATATTATACTCCATAATATCAAATACATATTACTAGCTTGAAACCTCCACTATAGCAACAGTTTTTTTTTTTTTTTTTTTTTTTTACCCTCCACTATAGCAACAGTATTTATTTTTTTTATTTTTTTATCTAGATATCAGCTCTACTATGTATTTTTGTGATCCATGCATCCTTCCATCAGTTGGCGTCACTAACACTGTTAAATGACACAACTCAGTTGTTCACAGCATGGATAAAACAGTAACATGCATTTGGTATCTGAGATTTTCCAAAAATATTATTTTGGGCCATGTATTTTATCTCTCTTGTGAGTAAGTACTTATTTACTTGTTGTTTCTGGTTCTCTTGTTTTAAAATAAATGCAATTTAGTCCCTAAATGATTCTTTTTTTCAATTAAATACCTAAAGCTTAACCTGTTAGCATTTTTTGACCAAGTTTAAGATTTGAAATGTAGGGAGTTAACTGGAAAAAATCATTCGAAGGCTAAATTGCTTTTATCTTCAAATAAGAGGACAAAAACTTCAATCAAGGACTTACTCTTAAGAAAAATAAATAAATGATCCAAAATAAAAAATATATATAATGTCCAAGATTGAGATCAAGATTAAAAAAATATAAAAATAGTTGAAAGATGTTTTGAACATTGTTTACTTTCTTAACCCTTCTGATATCTATATAAAGCTTTTCCTGAATGCATTAAACAGGAACAATTACATATCAATTGAAATAAACCCGATACCTGATTTTGGAGCAAAGTTATGATCGAGGGGTAATCGTTTAGTTCACGAGGGTTTTCCAGCTTGTGGCAATGCTGATTCAGCTTTGTGCTGGGAAATTGTGGATTCTGACGAGAACATATTTGCCTCAACCTGCCATGAATGATAAAGATTTAATAAGTCTAGAAATAAAAAATAAATTGGGACATCTTATGTAATAAAAAACACAGAATTGCTTACAGAAATATCCAGAATTTTTTTTATATTTTTCATTCCTCACCACAATAATCCCAATCCAAAAGAATAACAAATATAAGTTATTAGTTCGAATTCTATAAATTTTAGTATTTTAAAAATTTATATAGTAATTAATTTTAAAATTTATAGAATTACTTAAAATATAGACAAAAACTTATATTAATAAATAAAAAAATTGACAAATATAATACAGATTATTAGTGTTTGTATCGTAAAGGATGACATATGAAAACTTATATTAATAAATAAAAAAATTGACAAATATAATACAGATTATTAGTGTTTGTATCGTAAAGGATGACATATAAAATCTGCAGCATAAAATAACAATCAACTGCATATTATTGGGCAACGATGGAAACCTTCAAGAGGGTAAAAAGACAAGCGGAACCCCGTCAATCAAATTTCCAACTCTCTCTTTAATTTCCCAGGCAGGTAAAAATTAAATCTCTACCACAATAAACACGGTAGACATGACTTATGTCTGATCCCAACAGAACTGACAAATGAGAAATAAAGAAAGACTCGCATCATTAAAGCATCTTGGCAAAGAAATCATAAGAATAAAAATAAAAATTGTGACTTTCATTGGCTGGAAATCTTCTTCACAAACAGATTGAACTAACCATTAAACCAAAGTGCGAAAACAAGCTTAAGCTAGAACAGCAAATGAACCAAATCATGATCATGGCTTTTTTTTAAAAAAAAAAAATCAAAGTGAACTGATTCTTCACTGCGAACAAAGTTGATCGATGCAAACCATTTATGATCGAGCAGGTTAGTATATCCATTACATGCATTCTTAATAAAATCAAAATCACCCAGAGGGAAATATAGATTATAGGTAAAAGAAAGCACCAATTTGATTCAGAAACCTAAAACGAACATCAAAACCTTCCCGTCCATCAGGAAAGGATACAGAACAGAAAGCAAAAAATGAAACACAAATCCATAATAATGCTATCACCGAAGAACCAAATTTAGAAAAGGGAAGACTCGGATCTATTTGCATATATTATCAGCACAAAAAGAAGCAATCTTTCAAAGCAAAGCATTACTTGTCTGTTATGTTACTTCTATTGGCAGAACAGTCTGCTCCAGCTTTCCAGTCAAAAAAATCAATTCTCATGTTTGGTAACAAAACATATAAAGCTCTTGATCGAGGCTGCATGAAGTCGAATATGTGCCGTATAAAATATGACATGTAGAGTCCAGATGCAGCTCAAATTACAATCAAATGTATATTATTGGGCAACGATGGACGCTTTCATGAGGGCAGAATGACAACTGGGAAACCCCATTAATCAAGTTTCCTTCTCTTTCTTTCATTTCCCAACATGTAACAATCTCTACCAAAATAAACTTCTTTTGCAATATTGAGTCTGTAAAGTCTGTAAGGGCACTTGTAAATCTTCTTTTAATAAAGTCTATAAGGTGACTATTACAAATTTTTCTGTGAAATTGAACTTATGATGATTGCAAATCTTTCTTATATACAGAGTCTATGAGAACTCTCACAAATATTTTTTATTTTTAAGTTTGCTCTTGCAAATCTTCTTTTTAACTTTTAATTTTTAGAGAATTTTGCAAAACTTTTTGTGATATTGATTTTATGAGAGCTCTGCTAAAAATCTTTACTTTTGAGTCCATGAGGAACTCTTGCAAATCTTTCTACAATATTAAACCTATGAGGGCTCTCGTAATTTTTTTTCTTTCGTTTTTTTTTGTAGTTTTTTTTTCTTTTCTTCTTCAGTAAAAAAAAATGTTCATTTCTTAAAATATCAGAATATTTTCCTAACTCATAAAACTAGAAAAAGTGTTCCTGTTATATTGTTTTTCATTTGAGAAAAAATATGATATTGTTAACATTTTAAAATACACAAATATTTTTTCTAGCATCATTCATCATTATAAATATTTCACCTAATTAAATTGAATGAGATATAAGAATAAACATAACACTGCAATACTTTTCACTATTAGAGTGTATTAATAATAAAATTTTACACTCATGAACAATATTAATTAAAATTCTTAATGATTGTTATAATTATTCCACAATTAATCTGTAATGCCTTTCCGATCAAATTAATTTGTTGTCGAGGAGGCGTATATATTTGAATACTTGTACCATATTAGTACTGTCCTCATTTAGAAATTTTAATCTTTCTCTACTATATTTTATAAATAATCGATCCAAATACACCAGGAACATTATGATAGCCATTGTTAGTCATAATACAAAAATTAATTGTTTTACCATGGTGTGTACTCTAAACCTCGGGTAGAATTTTACCAGGGGTAAGTAAAAAAATTGAAAAACCAATTAAACCAAAAAAACTAGAAAAAACAATAACCAAAAAATCTAAACAGTGAAAAAATCGATTAAATCGAGAAAACCGGAAAAAACAGTAACCAAAAACACTGAATGGTGAAAAAAATCGATTAAACCAATTAAA